TATTCTTTCTATTGACCATCAATGTGGCATTTTTACCACTGAATTAGCTTTAGCAAGCTTTCCCCAAGACCTGAACATTATTTTTAGGGGTTCCTCTGGGGCAGGGGTGGGGCAACTGTGGCCCTTCAGCTGTTGTAGAACTACAAGTCCCATGAGGCATTGCAAAACTGACAGTTACAAGCATGACTCCCAAAGGCAGAGGCATGATGGGACTTGTAGTTCACCAACAGGTGGAGGGCCACATTTGCCCACCCCTGCTCTGGGGTAATAAGGTTGAGAAAGGTTGGCATAATGTAACTATTGTTACTAATACTAGTATTTCTCCTATAAACTCCTTGTATTTGTCCCCGTTCTGGGAAGACGTCATATGATGTCCTCCCACTCTAAGCGGGCGTGCAGCGCGACGATTGGTGGTGCGCTGTGTCCCTGGGACACAGCGGATCATCGATCAGTGGAAAGAGCCAATGACTTCGGCTCTGTCATGTGATCAGCTGTGTCCAATCACAGCTGATCGCATCTAAATAAGTAATTGCTGGTTACAGGGGCGGACTGACCATTTGGAAACTCGGGCACTGCCCGAGGGCCCGGGGTCAGTAGGGGGCCCCATGAGATGCCCCTGGTACCTTTTTCATAGGCTTTTTTGAGTTTGGGCAAGGACACAGGGGCCTCATGATCCCCTATTGCCCGGAGGCCCCATGAGTTGTCAGTCCGCCCCTGGCCGGGTATCGGCATTTCTTTCACTGACAGAGGAGAGGAGACCCGTTAATAGGCATTCCTCAGAGGGGACATCTACACTGATGATCAGTACCATGAAGCTCAGTATAGCCCCATCAGTGCCACCTGTCATTGCCCATCAATGCAACATATCAGTGCCCATCTGAACTGCCTTTCAGTGCCACTTATCAGTGCCACCTATGAGTCCTGCCAAGCAGTGCCGCCTAACAGTGCCAGTCAGTGCTGCCTATCAGTGCCAGACAGTGTCACCTATCAGTGCCATATATGAGTACTGCCTTTCAGTGCCCATCAGTGATGTTTGTGAATGCCCTCCAGTGATGCCTGTCAATGCCCATCAGTGCCACCTACCAGTGCCTCCTCATCAGTGCCGCCTATCAGTGCCCATCACTGCAGCCTCATTAGCGCACATCAGTGAAGGAGAAAAATCACTTTTTTTACAAAATATTATAACAAAAACTAAGAAAACCTTTTTTTTCCAAAATTTTCAGTAGTTTTTGGTTTGTTTAACAAAATATAAAAAAACCCGAGGTGATTAAATACCACCAAAACAAAGCTCTATCTGTCTCAAAAAAATGATAAAAATTTCATATGGGTACAGTGTTGCATGACTGCGCAATTGCCACTGCCAGCGTAACAGCGCTGAAAGCTGAAAATTGGCCTAGGCAGGAAGGGCGTGAAAGTGTCCGGACTGGAAGGGGGGTGAAAGTGTCCGGACTGGAAGGGGGGGAAAGTCTCCGGACTGGAAGGGGGGGAAAGTGTCTGGACTGGAAGGGGGGGGAAGTGTCTGGACTGGAAGGGGGTGAAAGTGTCTGGACTGGAAGGGGGTGAAAGTGTCCGGACTGGAAGGGGAGGAAAGTGTCCGGTCTGGAAGGGGAGGAAAGTGTCCGGTCTGGAAGGGGAGGAAAGTGTCCGGTCTGGAAGGGGGTGAAAGTGTCCGGACTGGAAGGGGGTGAAAGTGTCTGGACTGGAAGGGGGTGAAAGTGTCCGGACTGGAAGGGGAGGAAAGTGTCCGGTCTGGAAGGGGGGGAAAGTGTCCGGACTGGAAGAGGGTGAAAGTGTCCGGACTGGAAGAGGGTGAAAGTGTCCAGGCTGGAAGGGGGGGAAAGTGTCCGGACTGGAAGGGGGGGAAAGTGTCCGGACTGGAAGGGGGGGAAAGTGTCCGGACTGGAAGGGGGGGAAAGTGTCCGGTAGGCGAGGGGTTAATGTGTTAAACTTAATAAAGTGGTGTAGCGCAATCAACACAAATGTGTATAATATTCCCACTGTGATTGACACCACAACCTGATGCTACAAAGCAATGCTAAATAACACTAACTGTGTATAACATAAATCGGTGCCATGATCAGAATCCATCCAACTCAAATGACTTGACAAATGGCAGCGCCTAGGATTTATTACAAATAAATCAAATTAGATAAATAATTAAAAAACCTCTGTGCATACTGCGAGATAAATATTAAATAAAAAGTGAAAAAAATCATAAATGTTCCGCACCGTATAAAACAGTCCGTGTGTGTGAAAATAAATGAGAGATTATCCTGATGCATCTCCTTCATGTTGGAGGAATGGTGGTGGCATTGGCACTTTGCTACATGTGTTGTGGGAGTGTGGGTGTATCCGGAATTTCTGGAAAGATGCGTTTTAAATTGATTTCTAGGGTGTCCAGAGAATACACAACTCCCATTTGGCGTTGTTAAATCTTCTGTTGAATGTATTCCCGATCCAGTCCCGAACAGTGGTAGCTCACGTTTTAATTGCAGCCCGATTAACTCTTACTAAAGCATGGAAATCCACTACATCTCCTCTAGTTTCAGAAGTTATCCATAGCAGGGGCAGACTGACAACTCATGGGGCCCCTGGGCAATAGGGGATCATAGGGCCCCCGGGCAATAGGGGATCATGGGGCCCCTGTGTCCTTGCCCAAACTCAAAAAAGCCTATGAAAAAGGACTCATAGGTGGCACTGATAAGTGGCACTGAAAGGCAGTTCAGATGGGCACTGATATGTTGCATTGATGGGCAATGACAGGTGGCACTGATGGGGCTATACTGAGCTTCATGGTACTGATCATCAGTGTAGATGTCCCCTCTGAGGAATGCCTATTAACGGGTCTCCTCTCCTCTGTCAGTGAAAGAAATGCCGATACCCGGCCAGGGGCGGACTGACAACTCATGGGGCCTCCGGGCAATAGGGGATCATGAGGCCCCTGTGTCCTTGCCCAAACTCAAAAAAGCCTATGAAAAAGGTACCAGGGGCATCTCATGGGGCCCCCTACTGACCCCGGGCCCCTCGGGCAGTGCCCGAGTTTCCAAATGGTCAGTCCGCCCCTGATCCATAGAGTACATTTTCAGTACCTGTATGAACGGTCCTATGCAATTTCAAATCATACTCTACAGGTCTTTAATACTACTGTAGATGGTTATGCTGGACCAGGGGCGGACTGACCATTTGGAAACTCGGGCACTGCCCAAGGTCCGGGGGTCAGTAGGGGGCCCCATGAGATGCCCCTGGTACCTTTTTTCATAGGTTTTTTTGAGTTTGGGCAAGGACACAGGGGCCCCATGATCCCTTATTGCCCGGGGGCCCCATGAGTTGTCAGTCCGCCCCTGTGCTGGACTGTTGAGTTCCCGCTTCCTGACCTTTGATATTCTATGACAACCACTGATATTATAAACTGCATATAGCACATACAGTTGTGTTCAAAATAATAGCAGTGTGTTGAAAAAAGTGACTAAAGCTGAAAATCCTTCTAATAGCTTTTATTTCCATCCACACAAATGCATTGAGAACACGACACATTCTATTCCAAATCACAACATGAAGAAAAATACATCACATTTGTGTTCCTCTAAAAAAAAAATGGAAGAAAAGTGAATATTAGACGGTTCAAAAAAATCTCAGTGTTTGTATTCTTCTTTACAAACTCAAACATTCACTATATAAACTGAGAAATGTTTGAAGCTTTTGCTTTCCTTTGAATGACTTCATGAATATTTGGTTGTAGTCGCACTGTTTCTGAGAACTGCTGTACATCTGTGTTGCATGGAGTCACCCAACTTCTGGCCCCTGTGATCAGGTATTCCAGCCCAGGATGATTGGACCACATTCCACAGTTCTTCTCTATTTCTTGGTTTTGCCTCAGAAACGGCATTTTTGATGTCACCCCACAAGTTTTCTATTGGATGAAGATCCGGGGATTGGGCTGGCCACTCCATAAAGTCAATCTTGTTGGTCTGGAACCAAGATGTTGCCCGTTTACTGGTGTGTTTGGGGTCGTTGTCTTGTTGGAACCCCCATTTCAAGGGCATTTCCTCTTCAGCATAAGGCAGCATGACCTCTTCAAGTATTCTGATGGATTCAAACTGATCCATGATCCCTGGTATGCGATAAATAGGCCCAACACTGTAGTATGAGAAACATCCCCATATCATGATGATTGCACCACCATGCTTCACGGTCTTCACAGTGTACTGTGGGTTGAATTCAGTGTTTGGGGGTCGCCTGACAAACTGTCTCTGCCCACTAGACCCAAAAAGAACAATCTTACTTTCATCAGTCCACAAAATGTTGCACCATTTCTCTTTAGGCCAGTCAATGTGCTCTTTGGCAGATTGTAACCTCTTCAGCACACGTCATTTTCCCAACAGTGGGACTTTGCGGGGGCTTCTTGCAGATAGCTTGGCTTCACATCGGCGTCTTCTAATTGTAACAGTCCTCACAGGGAACGTCACACCCTTCTTTCATCTTCCTGCAGCTGATTGTTGGCTGAGTCCGCGCCATTTTGGCTATTCTTCTATCCATTCCAATGGTAGTTTTTCGCTTTCTTCCACGTCTTTCAGGTTTTGGTTGCCATTTTAAAGCATTTGCGATCATTTTAGCTGAGCAGCCGATCATTTTCTGCACTTCTTTATATGTTTTCCCCTCTCCAATCAACTTTTTAATCAAGGTACGCTGTTCTTCTGAACAATGTCTGGAGCGACCCATTTTCCTCAGAATTTCAGAGAGAAATGCACTGTAACCAGCATGTCCAACATTTGCTGCCTTCCTTCCTTAAATAAGGGCAATAATTGCCACCTGTTTTTCAAAGAATGAATGACCTCACTAATAGAAAGCCACACTGCTATTATTTTGAACACGCCCCTTTCAATGAGTGATTCAATGACACAGAATCAGCAGCATGAAATCAGAGTAAACCGTTTCAGTCCAGGAGAGGAGCCGGTACACCTGTGCAAAACTGAAGGGGAGGAGCCGGTACACCTGTGTAAGACTGAAGGGGAGGAGCCGGTACACCTGTGCAAGACTGACGGGGAGGAGCCGGTACACCTGTGCAAGACTGGAGGGGAGGAGCCGTTACACCTGTGCAAGACTGAAGGGGAGGAGTCGGTACACCTGTGTAAGACTGAAGGGGAGGAACCGGTACACCTGTGCAAAACTGAAGGGGAGGAGCTGGTACACCTGTGCAAGACTGACGGGGAGGAGCCAATACACCTGTGCAAGACTGGAGGGGAGGAGCCGTTACACCTGTGCAAGATTGAAGGGGAGGAGCTGGTAAACCTGTGCAAGACTGAAGGGGAGGAACCGGTACACCTGTGCAAAACTGAAGGGGAGGAGCTGGTACACCTGTGCAAGACTGACGGGGAGGAGCCAATACACCTGTGCAAGACTGGAGGGGAGGAGCCGTTACACCTGTGCAAGATTGAAGGGGAGGAGCTGGTAAACCTGTGCAAGACTGAAGGGGAGGAGCCGATGCACCTGTGTAAGACTGTAGGGGAGGAGCCGGTACACCTGTGCAAGACTGAAGCGGAGGAGCCCGTACACCTGTGTAAGACTGAAGGGAGGAGCCGATTAAACCTGTGCAAGACTAAAGGGGAGGAGCCGGTACACCTGTGTAAGACTGAAGGGAGGAGCCGATTAAACCTGTGCAAGACTAAAGGGGAGGAGCCGGTACACCTGTGCAAGACTGAAGGGGAGGAACCGGTACACCTGTGCAAAACTGAAGGGGAGGAGCTGGTACACCTGTGCAGGACTGACGGGGAGGAGCTGGTACACCTGTGCAAGACTGGAGGGGAGGAGCCGTTACACCTGTGCAAGACTGGAGGGGAGGAGCCGTTACACCTGTGCAAGACTGGAAGGGAGGAGCCGTTACACCTGTGCAAGACTGGAGGGGAGGAGCCGTTACACCTGTGCAAGACTGAAGGGGAGGAGCTGGTAAACCTGTGCAAGCCTGAAGGGGAGGAGCCGATGCACCTGTGTAAGACTGAAGCGGAGGAGCCCGTACACCTGTGCAAGTCTGAAGGGGAGGAGCTGGTACACCTGTGTAAGACTGAAGGGAGGAGCCGATTAAACCTGTGCAAGACTAAAGGGGAGGAGCCGGTACACCTGTGCAAGACTGAAGGGGAGGAGCAGGTACACCTGTGCAAGACTGGAGGGGAGGAGCCGGTACACCTGTGCAAGACTGAAGGGGAGGAGCCGGTACACCTGTGCAAGACTGAAGGGGAGGAGCCGGTACACCTGTGCAAGACTGAAGGGGAGGAGCCGGTACACCTGTGCAAGACTGAAGGGGAGGAGCCGGTACACCTGTGCAAGACTGGAGGGGAGGAGCTGGTACAACTGTGCAAGACTGGAGGGGAGGAGCCGGTACAACTGTGCAAGACTGAAGGGGAGGAGCCGGTACACCTGTGCAAGACTGAAGGGGAGGAGCCGGTACACCTGTGCAAGACTGAAGGGGAGGAGCCGGTACACCTGTGCAAGACTGGAGGGGAGGAGCCGGTACACCTGTGCAAGACTGAAGGGGAGGAGCCGGTACACCTGTGCAAGACTGAAGGGGAGGAGCCGGTACACCTGTGCAAGACTGAAAGGGAGGCCGACTGTCAGATCTTTTTGTTTTTTTATTCCCGGCTTCTCTACATCTATAAGCTGCTGCTGAATGACAGTTGATGGTGGGGTGTATGAAAAAGTCAGAGGATTACATTCTCTTCCAGATGTCAAATGATTCATTTATTCTGTGAAGCTGCACGGAGATATGATGTCAGTAGATCACTTTAGTATTGCCATAAATAACCCAAATCTTCCAGGGGTGCGGTAGAGACAACTGCTGGTCAGTCACATGACCCCAACTTCTGGACACCTAAAACTGTATATTTTCACATATAGGGGGGGGTTCCTGCAGCGCTGACAGTAGCTTTTACCTCCGATGTGGACCCTGAAAGCATTTCAGTGTGGTGCTACTTCTATTTTTTGAAGCCGATGCACTTAGAAGGAAGTCTGTTGCTTTCTGAAGGTGGCAATTAAGATCCGGGAGGTGACAAAGCCGGAATGGTGCTCTGGACCAGCATGGCCCCCATCGAGTGCCATTAAAAGGTTTCCTTTCCATGCGGCACTGGAATATCGCAGAATGAATTCTTTTTTACAGCGAGACTTGTTTCCCTCTGGAGAAATGTCTTGTTTAAAAATAAATGTTTCATCCAAAAGCACAACTGTCCTTAAACTACTCCAATCAAGATTGATTTAACCCTTCGCCTACCTAGCACTGTTAGCCCCTTACTGCCCAGGCCAGTTTTCAGCTTTCAGCGCTGTTGCACTTTGAAAGACAATTGTGCGGTCATGCATCACTGTGCCCAAATTAAATTTTTATCATTTTTTGGAGACAAATCTATGTTTCTTTTGGTGGTATTTAATCACCACTGGGGTTTTTATTTTTTGTTAAATTAAAAAAGACCAAAAATTTTGAAAAGAAAAAGTTTTTCTTAGCTTCTGTTATAAAGTTTTGTTAATAAGTGAGTTTTCTCCTTCACTGATGTGCGCTGATGAGGCTGTACTGATGGGCACTGATGAGGCTGCACTGATGGGCACTGATGAGGCTGTACTGATGGGCACTGATGAGGCTGCACTGATGGGCACTGATGAGGTTGTACTGATGGGCACTGATGAGGCTGTACTGATGGGCACTAATGAGGCTGCACTGATGGGCACTGATGAGGCTGCTCTGATGGGCACTAATGAGGCTGCACTGATGGGCACTGATGAGGCTGCACTGATGGGCACTGATGAGGCTGCACTGATGGGCACTATTAGGCTGCACTGATGGGCACTATTAGGCTGCACTGATGGGCACTATTAGGCGGCACTGATGGGCACAGATGAGGCTGCACTGATGGACACTATAAGACTGCACTGATGGGCACTGATGAGGCTGCACAGATGAGCACTGTTAGGCTGCACTGATGGGCACTGATAGGGCTGCACTGATGGGCACTGATAGGGCTGCACTGATGGGCACTATTAGGCTGCACTGATGGGCACTATTAGGCTGCACTGATGGGCACTATTAGGCTGCACTGATGGGCATTGATGAGGAGGCATTCATGAGGCTGCACCGATATGCGGCACTGATGGGCTCTGATAGGAGACACTGATGGGCATTGATAGGTGGCACTGATAGGCGACACTGATGGGCATTAATGGTCCCCCATAGCTGAATTTTTATGTTGTACAATAACTCATCATTTTGAAAATGATGGCAAAATAGTGGGCAAAACAGACCTCTATCCGAAGGGCTATTGTTTTTTGAACCTTGGTCAAAACTAGACAATATCTGAATGCATCCGAATTTCAAATATCGAATTCAAAAAGGAATACATACCAATCTTTCCATCTGAATTATCGAACGAATTCGAAAATTTTATTAATTTCCCCATTGCCCCGAACTGCTATCGCATCATGTGATGTCCTCTGAATGAAACATGCATTCGTTAATTTGGTTATAATTTTTTTTTTTTTTTTAATTTGTTGCCATTTGTTACTTTGTTTAGTCGGAGATTCGGATACATCTGAATCTCTGAAAATCAAATTTTTATCCTAAAAACGAATTGTAATAAAATGAAAAGCACTTGTCTAGTCAAAACCAATATTTACATTCATTTGCGAATTCCCTCTAGCGGTCCCTAGAATTGCTCCAGCGTATTACGCTGCTCAGCTCTATCTAGCAGCAACAATACAGTATTTTACTGCTGTCCGTGATAGAAGAATATTCATTCAGAAGATGAAATGGCCTAAAGCAGTGTTTCTCAATCCAATTCAGTGGCAACTCCCTTTAGAAGTACAGTATGTAAAATCTCAAGGAAAAGGAAATGTCACTTATCAATGGGAAACCTGAGCCTGAGATGATGCACACAACCACCTTGATGTAATTAACTTCACGTCGGGAGCCCCCCATCACATCAGAGACCCCTCATCACATCAGAGTACCCCCAATCACATCAGAGGTCCTCCTTCACATCAGAGGTCCACCATCACATCCGACTGCCCCTCCTCACATCAGAGGTCCCCCATAACATCAGAGACCCCCCATCACATCAGAGGTCCCCCATCACATAAGAGGTCCACCTTCACATCCGACTGCCCCTCCTCACATCAGAGGTCCTCCTTCACACCAGAGGTCCCCCTATCACATTAGAGGTCCCCCCATGATATGAGAGGTCCCTGCATCACATCAGAGGTCCCCCATCACATAAGAGGTCCTCCTTCACATCAGAGGTCTACCATCACATCAGAGACCCTTCATCACATCAGAGACTTCCCCATCACATAAGAGGTCCTCCTTCACATCAGAGGCCCACCTTCACATCCAACTGCCCCTCTTCACATCAGAGGTCCCCGCATCACATAAGAGGTCCTCCTTCACACCAGAGGTCCCCCCATCACATCAGAGATCTCCGCATCACATCAGAGGTCCTCCTTCACACCAGAGGTCCCCCCATCACATCAGAGACCCCCCCATCACATCAGAGGTCCCCATCATATAAGAGATCCGCCTTCACATCAGAGGTCCACCATCACATTTGACTGCCCCTCCTCACATCAGAGGTCCCCGCATCACATCAGAGTTCCTCCTTCACACCAGAAGTCCGCCATCACATCCGACTGCCCCTCCTCACATCAGAGGCCCCTGCATCACACCAGAGGTCCTCCTTCACACCAGAGGTCCCCCCATCACATCAGAGACCCCCCATTACATCAGAGGTCCCCCATCACATCAGAGACCCCTCATCACATCAGAGTACCCCCAATCACATCAGAGGTCCTCCTTCACATCAGAGGTCCACCATCACATCCGACTGCCCCTCCTCACATTAGAGGTCCCCCCATCACATTAGAGGTCCCCCCATCACATAAGAGGTCCTCCTTCACATCAGAGGTCCACCATCACATCAGAGACCCTTAATCACATCAGAGACCCCCCCCATCACATAACAGGTCCTCCTTCACATCAGAGGCCCACCTTCACATCCGATTGCCCCTCTTCACATCAGAGGTCCCCGCATCACATAAGAGGTCCTCCTTCACACCAGAGGTCCCCCCATCACATCAGAGGTCTCCGCATCAGGTCAGAGGTCCTCCTTCACACCAGAGGTCCCCCCATCACATCAGAGACCCCCCATCACATCAGAGGTCCCCCATCATATAAGAGGTCCTCCTTCACACCAGAGGTCCACCATCACATCTGACTGCCCCTCCTCACATCAGAGGTCCTCGCATCACATAAGAGATCCTCCTTCACACCAGAGGTCCCCCCATCATATCAGAGGTTCCCGCATCGTATCAGAGGTCCATGCGTCACATCAGAAGTCCCCCATCACATAAGAGGTCCTCCTTCACATCATAGGTCCCTACATCACATCAGAGGTCCCCTTCATCATGTCAAAGCTCTCCCTTCACATCAGAAGCGCAGATCAAGTCAAAGGTCCCCCCCATCACAGAGTCTTCTCTATAAATCAGAGTGCTCTATATATCAGAGTCCTCCCTATATGGCAGATTCTCCCCATTACTGTCAGAGCCCTATCTTTTGGCTCCAGCATGCAGCATAGGGCAGGGGGTGGAGCGTGCTTGAAGAAGCAAGACTTCCACCCTCTCCTGAATGCCGGGGCAGCCCTGCATGCCAACTGCCCTGGATCAGCATCGTGAATTTCCATTGTGCGGACATGCTGGCTTGCAACACAATAGCAGCATACTGACATAAAGCGTCATTGTTTGATATGATGCTGGTGGCCAACCCTCCCACACCATGGCAACTCATGATCCAGGGGAAACTGCTCACAGCACCCAGGTGGAACCCAAGCAGCACTCTGATTGAGAAATGCTAGCCTAAAGAACACTCCTTTTTTCCACTTTGGACAGATTGTATAGTCATGCCATTTTTTTTTTTACAAATAGACCCCACTATGTCCTGTGGTCACCAAATTAGTAACAAGGGGGAAGTCTTCTTGACAAGACAGAAATCAGAGGAAATGATACAAAGACGCTTCTTTTTTTTTTTTTTTGGCTCTACTTGTGTGGCGTCTGCATTTTATACCTTGCCTGGGGGAAAAAAAATCTAGAATTGCCCCCTCATAAAGAAAAAAAGTATTGTTCTTGTTGTAAAAAATAACTTTCTTCTTTTTTTTAGAGAGTGTTTTTCATCACCATC